CCCGCGCGGCTCAGCCAATGGGGGCGGAGCGGCCCCCGCGGGCCGCGCGGTGATTGGGCGGCGCGGGCGGCGCGCGGCCCCGCGCCGGGTATTTGTGCGCGCGGCGCGCGGCGGGCGCAGAGCCGCGCTGGAGACCGGCGGGGCCGCCGCGCCGACTCTGCCCCGGCCGCTCGCCCCGCGCCCCGTCCTGCGCTCCTCCTGCTCCCCGCCTCGCCAAAGCTTCTCCCTGTCCTCGCTTCGGAGTTCTTTGGTCTTCTTACTTTTTGTTAATTTTTTTTTTTTTTTTTTTGGCGTTTTTTTGCTGAGGAGAATTTTTAAAAAGTTTTTGGTTTGTTGTTTTTTTCTTTTTGCGAACTTCTCGCTGTTCTTCTCCCTCCTCTCCGCCGCCGGTGGAGACTTTGTTTCTCCGAGTTTTTACTTTTTTTTAACCCGTCCCTGCCCCTTAGCGCCTAACTTTTTTATATTTTCTATTATTAATTTTGTTTTTCGCCCCCTCGTTCCCCCCTCGGCCACTTTCTCGCATGAATCTCCTCGACCCTTTCATGAAAATGACAGAAGAACAGGACAAATGTATCTCCGACGCCCCCAGCCCCACCATGTCGGATGACTCCGCCGGGTCCCCCTGCCCCTCTGGATCCGGCTCGGACACGGAGAACACCAGACCCCAAGAGAACACCTTCCCCAAGGGGGACCCGGACCTGAAGAAGGAGAACGACGAGGACAAGTTCCCGGTGTGCATCCGGGAGGCGGTGAGCCAGGTGCTGAAGGGCTACGACTGGACCCTGGTGCCGATGCCGGTGCGGGTGAACGGCTCCAGCAAGAACAAGCCGCACGTCAAGAGACCCATGAACGCCTTTATGGTGTGGGCGCAGGCGGCCCGCAGGAAGCTGGCGGACCAGTACCCGCACCTGCACAACGCCGAGCTCAGCAAGACCCTGGGCAAGCTCTGGAGGTGAGTGCGGGGCCGGGATGCCCGCGGGGAGCGGGGGATGCGCAGCGCGCTGCGTCCGGGGAGAGGATGTGGAAAACGCGCTGGAAAACTTCTGCGGGGTGCAAAACTTGTTTAGGTCGGGGAGAAGCCAGAATAGGAGCGGGGGAAAGTAGGGAAAGTCGTTCGCCTTGTGGCGTTGGAAGTGGTTTCTGTTCCCGGAGCGGGCGGACGGTGCGGAGCCCCCCGGGCTGCCCCGGCCGCTGTTTGTTTGCGCTGCCGGTGCGGAGGAAATGATGGATTTTGGGGATTGCATCAGCTCGGGCCGGGCCGGAGGGAGCGCGGGGCGATGCGGGGAGGGAGGGAGGGAGGGAGGGAGGCGGCGGTGAGTGGCGCAGGGCCGGGTGGCCTCCGAGTGCCAGAATAAGGCGGGGAAGGGAGGAAAACACGAGGCAAGTGAGTCACCTGGGCCACCGCGTCCTCGGGGACTGCGCGGGGGCCGGGGGACCCTACAGCGGTGACTCGGCGAGGAAAGCTGGCCCTGGCACGCTGGGATGTCCCCAAAGCGCCCGGGGACAGCGGGATGTGCCCACAGCGTGGGGAGGGCTGGACCCCGCTGCAGCTCTGCTCTGGTACCGAAGGGATCTGGGCGACAAGAGGGTGACAACCGCGGAGTGCCGGGGACAAAGGGGTGACAGCCAGCGAGTGTCCCGGGCAGGGGGTTCAGGTTGTGGGGGGCTGTGCATCGCTCTTGGGGGGATGCGAGGGAGGGATCGGCACCGGTGTCACTGCCCGGCGCCCCCCTGAGCCACGAGTGACCCCGCGCCCCCCGTGTCCCCCCAGGCTGCTGAACGAGAGCGAGAAGCGCCCGTTCGTGGAGGAGGCCGAGCGGCTGCGGGTGCAGCACAAGAAGGACCACCCCGACTACAAGTACCAGCCCCGGCGGAGGAAGTCGGTGAAGAACGGGCAGGCGGAGCAGGAGGAGGGCGCGGAGCAGACCCACATCTCCCCTAACGCCATCTTCAAGGCGCTGCAGGCAGACTCGCCGCAGTCCTCCTCCAGCATCAGCGAGGTGCACTCGCCCGGGGAGCACTCGGGTAGGTACCCGCGGAGCCTGCGGGGGGCACGGCGCGGCTGCCGAAGCCGCAGCCCAAACCGGGCTGAAGTTGGGGTTGGGCGAGGGGAGGGAAAGCAGAGAGGCAGGAAGGGAGTGAGAAGGGGGAGAAGTACCCGCGAGCTGCGCCCAGAGCCTGGGCACACGGATCTCACCCCAGCGTGCCCGTGGGAAGCGCAAACCCACGCCTTTTGAAGCCCGCTGGGACACCTGGAGGCGCGTGTGCCCCGGCCACCTCTGCCACACCTTCACCCCTCTCCTTCCTCCCCCAGGCCAGTCCCAGGGGCCCCCCACGCCGCCCACCACGCCCAAGACGGACCCGCAGCCGGGCAAGCAGGACCTGAAGCGGGAGGGCCGGGCGCTGGGCGAGGGCGGCCGGCAGCCGCCGCACATCGACTTCCGCGACGTGGACATCGGCGAGCTGAGCAGCGACGTCATCTCCAACATCGAGACCTTCGACGTCAACGAGTTCGACCAGTACCTGCCACCCAACGGGCACCCCGGCCAGGTCACCTACACGGGCAGCTACGGCATCAGCGGCGCCGCGGGCACGCCGGCCGGAGTCTGGATGTCCAAGCAGCAGCCGCCGGCGCTGAGCGCCGAGCAGGGCCAGCAGCAGCAGCAGCAGCAGCAAAGGACGCACATCAAGACGGAGCAGCTGAGCCCCAGCCACTACAGCGAGCAGCAGCAGCACTCCCCGCAGCAGCAGCAGCAGCAGCAGGTGAGCTACAGCTCCTTCAACCTGCAGCACTACGGCTCGTCCTACCCCAGCATCAGCCGCGCGCAGTACGAGTACGGCGAGCACCAGGGCTCCTCGGGCTCCTACTACAGCCACGCCGGGCAGGGCAGCGGGCTCTACTCCACCTTCAGCTACATGAGCCCCACGCAGCGCCCCATGTACACCCCCATCGCCGACACGGCGGGGGTGCCCTCCATCCCCCAGACCCACAGCCCGCAGCACTGGGAGCAGCCCGTCTACACGCAGCTCACCCGGCCCTAAGAGGGGAGGAGGGCGTGACAAAAAAATTAAAAAAAAAAAAAAAATAAAAAAAAAAAAAAAATTAAAAAAAAAATAATAAAAAAAGGGCAGGAAAGTGACGAAAAAATTAGTGAAAAAAGAAAAAAAATCAGCAGAGCGCGAACGAGTTGGCTCGGACTGGTTCGGTGTTTGAAATTGAAATGAGAATTCAAAAGACGCTCGCAGTGGAAGCTGGCGGGGAGGAGAGAGCGCCTCGAGCCTTCTGCACTACAGCATCCTCCAGGACCTGCTCCCGGCCCCGAAATTTGGGACAGACTTGCCAAGGACTGGACTTGAACTCTGCTTCTTCCAGCGTGGAGAGGAGATTTCCACCCAACCCGCCCAGCTGGCTCCTTCTCTGGACTTTTGTAATGATTTTTTGGTTTTTTTAGCAGTAATTAAAAGCAAGACAAAAAAATAAAAAAAAACAAAAAGAAGAAAAAAAAAAGGGGGGGTAAAAGAGAAAACTCAGAGTCCTCTGTGAGGAATATTCTCTATTTTAAATATTTTTAGTATGTACTGTGTATGATTCGTTACCAATTTGAGGGGATTTTTACCTATTTTTTAGAGATTTTTTTCAAATGCTCTTATTTTTCCAACAGCTAAAAAAAAAAAAATGACACTTAGTGGAGCAGCCCTAGGTTTTCTTGCAGAGGTATTTTTGTATAGAGAAGTGTCTTTTTTTGCTCTAAAAATGAAACTAAACCAGCGTGCTCTGCCCTGGGAACCCAGCTCTGGGGCAGGCACCAGCATGGGAGAGGCTTTATTTTTCTAACTCGTAGCAAAACCAGCCAGGAGGAGAACTTCACTTTATTTTTTAATTACCTTGAGCCTTAAAAGAAAAACAAAAAAGAGGAAAAAAAAGATTAAAACTCCATAGAGC